GTGTAGGACGGAGGCAGTGATACCCCTATTTATAGTGTTTAGTGAAGGGAGGCAGTGATACCCCTATATATAGTGTTTAATGTAGAATGTCTATGACGGAGGCAGTGATACCCCTATATATAGTGTTTAGTGTAGGACGGAGGCAATGATACCCCTATATATAGTGTTTAGTGTAGAAGTGTAGTGAGGGAGGCAGTGATACCCTATATATATATAGTGTTATAGTGTAGGACGGAGGCAGTGATAACCCTATATATAGTGTTTAGTGTATGACGGAGGCAGTAATACCCCTATATATAGTGTTTAATGTAGAATGTCTATGACGGAGGTAGTGATACCCATATATATAGTGTTTAGTGTAGAATGTCTATGACGGAGGCAGTAATACCCCTATATATAGTGTTTAATGTAGAATGTCTATGACGGAGGTAGTGATACCCCTATATCTAGTGTTTAGTGTAGTATGTCTATGACGGAGGCAGTGATAACCCTATATATAGTGTTTAGTGTAGAATGTCTATGACGGAGGTAGTGATACCCCTATATATAGTGTTTAGTATAGGACGGAGGCAGTGATACCCCTATATATCGTGTTTAGTGAAGGGAGGCAGGATACCCCTATATATAGTGTTAAGTGTAGGACGGAGGTAGTGATATCCCTATATATAGTGTTTAGTGTAGAATGTCTATGACGGAGGCAGTTATACCCCTATATATAGTGTTTAGTGTAGGACGGAGGTAGTGATACCCCTATATATAGTGTTTAGTCTATGACGGAGGCAGTGATACCCCTATATATAGTGTTTAGTGTAGGACGGAGGCAGTGATACCCCTATATATAGTGTTTAGTGAAGGGAGGCAGTGATACCCCTATATATAGTGTTTAGTGTAGAATGTCTATGACGGAGGCAGTAATACCCCTATATATAGTGTTTAATGTAGAATGTCTATGACGGAGGTAGTGATACCCATATATATAGTGTTTAGTGTAGGACGGAGGCAGTGATACCCCTATATATAGTGTTTAGTGTAGAATGTCTATGACGGAGGCAGTGATACCCCTATATATAGTGTTTAGTGTAGGACGGAGGCAGTGATACCCCTATATATAGTGTTTAGTGAAGGGAGGCAGTGATACCCCTATATATAGTGTTTAGTGTAGAATGTCTATGACGGAGGTAGTGATACCCCTATATATAGTGTTAAGTGTTGGACGGAGGTAGTGATACCCTATATATAGTGTTTAGTGTAGAATGTCTATGACGGAGGCAGTGATACCCCTATATATAGTGTTTAGTGTAGAATGTCTATGACGGAGGTAGTGATACCCCTATATATAGTGTTTAGTGTAGGACGGAGGCAGTGATACCCCTATATATAGTGTTTAGTGTAGGACGGAGGCAGTGATACCCCTATATATAGTGTTTAGTGTAGGACGGAGGCAGTGATACCCCTATATATAGTGTTTAGTGTAGGACGGAGGCAGTGATACCCCTATATATAGTGTTTAGTGTAGGACGGAGGCAGTGATACCCCTATATATAGTGTTTAGTGTAGTATGTCTATGACGGAGGCAGTGATAACCCTATATATAGTGTTTAGTGTAGGACGGAGGCAGTGATACCCCTATATATAGTGTTTAGTGAAGGGAGGCAGTGATACCCCTATATATAGTGTTTAGTGTAGGACGGAGGTAGTGTTATCCCTATATATAGTGTTTAGTGTAGAATGTCTATGACGGAGGTAGTGATACCCCTATATATAGTGTTTAGTATAGGACGGAGGCAGCGATACAACTATATATAGTGTTTAGTGTAGGACGGAGGCAGCGATACAACTATATATAGTGTTTAGTGTAGGACGGAGGCAGTGATACCCCTATTTATAGTGTTTAGTAAAGGGAGGCAGTGATACCCCTATATATAGTGTTTAATGTAGAATGTCTATGACGGAGGTAGTGATATCCCTATATATAGTGTTTAGTGTAGAATGTCTATGACGGAGGCAGTGATACCCATATATATAGTGTTTAGTGTAGGACGGAGGCAATGATACCCCTATATAGTGTTTAGTGTATGAATGGAGGCAGTGATACCCCTATATATAGTGCAGTAATACCCCTATATATAGTGTTTAGTGTAGGACGGAGGCAGTGATAACCCTATATATATAGTGTTAATGTAGGACGGAGGTAGTGATACCCCTTTATATAGTGTTTAGTGTAGAATGTCTATGACGGAGGCAGTGATACCCCAGTGCAGTGATACCCCTATATATAGTGTTTAGTGAAGGGAGGCAGTGATACCCCTATATATAGTGTTTAGTGTAGGACGGAGGCAGTGATATCCCTATATATAGTGTTTAGTGAAGGGAGGCAGTTATACCCCTATATATAGTGTTTAGTGTAGGACGGAGGCAGTGATACCCCTATATATAGTGTTTAGTGTAGGACGGAGGCAGTAATACCCCTATATATAGTGTTTAGTGTAGGACGGAGGTAGTGATACCCCTATATATAGTGTTTAGTGTAGGACGGAGGCAGTGATACCCCTATATATAGTGTTTAGTGTAGAATGTCTATGACGGAGGCAGTGATACCCCTATATATAGTGTTTAGTGTAGGACGGAGGCAGTGATACCCCTATATATAGTGTTTAGTGTAGGACGGAGGCAGTGATACCCCTATATATAGCGTTTAGTGAAGGGAGGCAGTTATACCCCTATATATAGTGTTTAGTGTTGGACGGAGGCAGTGATACCCCTATATATAGTGTTTAATGTAGAATGTCTATGACGGACGTAGTGATATCCCTATATATAGTGTTTAGTGTAGAGAGGCAGTGATACCCCTATATATAGTGATATCCCTATATATAGTGTTTAGTGTAGAATGTCTATGACGGAGGCAGTGATACCCATATATATAGTGTTTAGTGTAGGACGCAGGCAATTATACCCCTATATATAGTGTTTAGTGTAGGACGGAGGCAGCGATACAACTATATATAGTGTTTAGTGTAGAATGTCTATGACGGAGGTAGTGATACCCTATATATAGTGTTAAGTGTAGAATGTCTATGACGGAGGTAGTGATACCCCTATATATAGTGTTTAGTGTAGGACGGAGGTAGTGATACCCCTATATATAGTGTTTAGTGTAGAATGTCTATGACGGAGGTAGTGATATCCCTATATATAGTGTTTAGAATGTCTATGACGGAGGCAGTGATACCCCTATATATAGTGTTTAGTGTAGAATGGAGGCAGTGATACCCCTATATATAGTGTTGTAGAATGTCTATGACGGAGGCAGTGATACCCCTATATATAGTGTTTAGTGTAGAATGTCTATGACGGAGGCAGTGATACCCCTATATATAGTGTTTAGTGTAGGACGGAGGCAGTGATACCCCTATATATAGTGTTTAGTGAAGGGAGGCAGTGATACCCCTATATATAGTGTTTAGTGTAGTATGTCTATGACGGAGGCAGTGATAACCCTATATATAGTGTTTAGTGTAGGACGGAGGTAGTGATACCCCTATATATAGTGTTTAGTGTAGGACGGAGGCAGTGATACCCCTATATATAGTGTTTAGTGTAGGACGGAGGCAGTGATACCCCTATATATAGTGTTTAGTGAAGGACGGAGGCAGTGATACCCCTATATATAGTGTTTAGTGTAGGACGGAGGCAGTGATACCCTTATATATAGTGTTTAGTGTAGGACGGAGGCAGTGATACCCTTATATATAGTGTTTAGTGTAGGACGGAGGCAGTAATACCCCTATATATAGTGTTTAGTGTAGGACGGAGGCAGTAATACCCCTATATATAGTGTAGAATGTCTATGACAGAGGCAGTGATACCCCTTTATATAGTGTTTAGTGTAGGGAGGCAGTGATACCCATTTATGTAGTGTTTAGTGTAGGACGGAGGCAGTGATACCCCTATATATAGTGTTTAGTGTAGGACGGAGGCAGTGATACCCCTATATATAGTGTTTAGTGTAGGACGGAGGCAGTGATACCCCTATATATAGTGTTTAGTGTAGGACGGAGGCAGTGATACCCCTATATATAGTGTTTAGTGTAGGACGGAGGCAGTGATACCCCTATATATAGTGTTTAGTGTAGGACGGAGGCAGTGATACCCCTATATATAGTAGTATAGGACGGAGTGATACCCCTATATATCGTGTGATGAAGGGAGGCAGTGATACCCCTATATATAGTGTTTAGTGTAGGACGGAGGCAGTGATACCCCTATATATAGTGTTTAGTGTAGGACGGAGGTAGTGATACCCCTATATATAGTGTTTAGTGTAGGACGGAGGCAGTGATACCCCTATATATAGTGTTTAGTGTAGAATGTCTATGACGGAGGCAGTGATACCCCTATATATAGTGTTTAGTGTAGGACGGAGGCAGTGATACCCCTATATATAGTGTTTAGTGAAGGGAGGCAGTGATACCCCTATATATAGTGTTTAGTGTAGAATGTCTATGACGGAGGCAGTGATACCCCTATATATAGTGTTTAGTGTAGGACGGAGGTAGTGATACCCCTATATATAGTGTTTAGTGTAGGACGGAGGCAGTGATACCCCTATATATAGTGTTTAATGTAGAATGTCTATGACGGAGGTAGTGATACCCCTATATATAGTGTTTAGTGTAGAATGTCTATGACGGAGGCAGTGATACCCCTATATATAGTGTTTAGTGTAGGAGGTTTATGTCGGATTCGGTGATATTCAATGTGATAGATGCGTAAAGGGAAGTAACTCAAACTTTACCTGATTATGTCAATGGTAAAACTGTTATTGATTGGCATTATCAGTTATGAATAATATTTGTGTTTTTTCTCTCACACTACTTTACATGCTACTAAATTAAAAACCGTAATTATATTGATATTTTAATTATTCTGTATTCAATGTAGAAGAAATAAAGAAAGATTACTGGGTACAGTTTACCTTGGACCTAAACGACATCACAATGTCCGTTACACCCGTGGTGAAACCTCCGTCTGGCGTCACTGTTTTCCTAGAGGGCCCATATTGGGAGGTGTCCACACAGTCGCTACTCTACGTGGACATGACCGGCAAAACGGTTCACCGCTGGAATGCGGCCACTAATACGGACGAAGTGATAAATCTGGACATCGATGAGAGTGAGTCGTGGCTGTATTAGTCTGTTGTCAAGTGTTGCTATATCATATATTTGCAATTTTTGTAGAACATTTATGTATATCTGTAAACTGAATTGCTGATGTTTTAGAAACTAAATAAAAGGGTTTATTTTTTCACACTTAAACCAGGTTTCCAGTTCAAGTCGTTTTATTTCCAGTTGTCAAATGCTCACCGTACATTACATGCAAACAGACATCGTTTCATTTTCTTTGTTGTTCCGTGCCGCATGGTTACTTCATGTTTGTAAGATAGGCCAAACTTCTTGAAAAATACCAATCATCATCATATTTAAAAGGGGCAAAGCTTCTTTACATCGTGTCTATCATCACAAATTTCGTCTAGATTTATGAAATAATAAGTATGTTGCATGTTCTAAATAGAAAAATAACACCAAGGAACAAACCTGAAGAACTCTCTTATTCCAGAATAAGTGGTTACAGTTATACATTGAAAGGCGATCCTCGACTTCGATCTATGCACAGTTTGAATGATGGGAAAATTGAGTAATCTATTCGTCCAAACAGGGAAGTTACCATTCCAGATACCTTATCATACACTCCTTCACTCGAGCTGTAGTGACAGACGACCACCATTATTTAAGAATCAGTCTGGAGGCTGAGGGGATAACATGGCATTTATACTTTTATGAATACCGTGCTCGTGATAAAGCCCTCATATTTTCAAAGATGTACAGATGCGACCTGTTTGTACGTCCGGTACAGATCCAGGCCGTTTATACGTCCTGTAACGATCCGGGCCGTTATGATATCCTGTACGGACCCAGCTGATTCGGATGTCCTGTATAGATCCGGCCCATTAGGATAGCCTGTATAGATCCGGCCTGTTTGTATATCCGGTGAGACTCGGCTCGTTCGGATATTCTGTACAGATCTGGAACATTTGTATGTACATTACAGATCCGGCCTGTTTGTATGTCCGCTACAGATCGGCCTGTTTGTATATCCGCTGCAGATCTGGCCTGTTTGTATGTCCGCTACAGATCCGGCATGTTTGTATGTCCACTACAGATCCGGCCTGTTTGTATTTCCGCTACAGATCCAGCTCGTTTGTATGTCCGGTACATATCCGACCTGTTTGTATGTCCGCTACAGATCCGGCCTGTTTGTATGTCCACTACAGATCCGGTCTGTTTGTATGTCCACTACAGATCCAGCTCGTTTGTATGTCCGGTACAGATCCGGCCTGTTTGTATGTCCGCTACAGATCCGGCCTGTTTGTATGTCCACTACAGATCCGGTCTGTTTGTATGTCCGCTACAGTTCCAGCTCGTTTGTATGTCCAGTACAGATCAGGCCGGTTCTGATAACCTGTACAGATCCGGCCCGTTTCCATGCCCGGTATAGATCCGGCCCATTAGAATATTCTGAACAGTTCCGGCCCATTTTTATTTCCGAATCAGATCCGGTTCGGTTTGATATCCAGAACAGATCGGGTTGGTTTGGATATCATATACCGAATTAGATCATTCGGGCAACCTGTGTTGTTCCGGTCCGTGTTTATGTCTTATACAGATCCGGACGGTTTGGATATCCAAACAAATATGACCCGTTTTGGTGTCCGGTGCAGATCCGGCCTTTTCGGATATCCATTTGGATGGCTTTAGAGCTCCGGGCTGTTTGGATGGCCTTACGGATCACGGTGCTGCCCCATCCCCTGGATGCCCTATACTAGACCGATATAGTCGTTTAGATGTCTTGTACCGACCAGGCACTTTTTCGTCTATACTATAGTTTTTGTTTACAGAAACTCGCCCAAGTCTTATTGTTCCTCGACAAAGTGGCGGTTACATTGTCACTCATGGCAGGACGGTCAGTCATCTGGATTGGTCAAGCCGTAACCTAACAGCTCTTGCGAACATCGATGGAGTGGAGTCTGATGTTAAAGTGCTTTTTAATGACGGGAAATGTGATAGTAAAGGGCGTCTCTGGGCAGGTACGTGTCAGTAACGAGAAAATATCAGAATGTCCCTTATCATAGCAATATGTCCTTGTAGTTTCAAAATTACCAGTCGTTTCACTAAATGTAGAAATGACGTTATCACTATATTTCTACTATGTGGCTTGTTAAGTTTTAAGGACGGAGAAAATAAACAGTTCTAATAAGAGTATCGTGTCCTATCTAAGGCTTTAATAGTACATAATTTCATCTAGCTTATTCACAAAATATGTACTTGATTTTCTTTAAATGTTTTATTCATTTACGAAATTATTAGCAGCCTTAATGGAACACGAATAAATTTATTTTGAAATACACTTGAAATATGTCAGTTGTGGCAGTTTTGTCCTGTCGTTTTAGGTACCTTTCCCGCCGATGTCAAAGACATATCAAATCTTCCGCCCAATCAAGGCTTCCTCGTCAGTATTGCTGAAGCAAATGTCCAGAAACAGGCAGATAAAATTACCTTATCTAATGGCATGGCTTGGTCTGCAGATGAAAAGACACTGTATTTCGTCGACTCCATACCGAGGGAGATACTAGCTTTTGATTTCGACGTAAACACTGGACAATTATGTACGTAAGAGTCATCCCTCATTTTCTATTAAAATATTAAGGAAAAAGATTAATATTTCCAAACCATCCGAATTCTCAAACTGACAAATAAACTCGAGTCGTATAATACAATATTTGTTATATTTCAGCCAATCGTCGTGTAGCCGTGGCGTTCCCTCCGGATAGCAAAGAAACTCTCGGGATGCCGGACGGTTTAACTATCGACACAGACGGCAATCTGTGGGTCGCTTGTATTCTAGTAGGGAAGGTGGCTTGTTTTGATCCGCAGTCAGGTAAGACAGAGTTGACGCGAGAGGCGATTCTCTCTTCAGCTGATGCAAGCACGAGTGAATTGTGTGAGTTGTCATATTTTGTTTCCTCAACAATTTGGTTTTTGGACCTCTCTCTGTAATGATCTTATTCTGACCACGTGTGTTCTGTTTATACAACGTACATAAGAGTTGAGAATTTTTCATTTTACACAGCCTCTGTCGAGGTCGAATGTCAAGAATCTCATGGGAGATGGAAATTGATATAAGGTTCTGTTTCTCAACATTTTGCGCTCGAGACCATGAACCACATTGCAAGGTTCGTTCAACTTCTAGAACGCTTGAGAAAGGAGGATATGTGTATAAGCCAGGAATAGGGATTCTAGGAATATCGTCCTGATAACGTATTGGGAAACATATACGAAAATGACTGACTATGTAAGGAACTATCTATCCAATTCAAGATTTGTAGCTACAATCGTAAGAAGTCACTCTGGACCAATGGGGTGGGTGAATTCCGATCTCGCTTCGGATTTAGTCGGACAAAGTCTGAATGAAAACAAATCGTCACTTAAGGTATACCCATACAAGTAAGGTTACCGTGCAACTAATTGTTAAAAATTTAACTTTTGTCGCTATCTTGGACGAATTTGTTCATGGGGATTATTATCAATTGCTTAAATATTTTGTTACGTTGCGATTACAGTCACTCCAATCGGCCTTTTTAAGATAGTTTCGCGGATATGCGGTTTTTACCAACTATATGCTTGACAGTTGACAATTTGAATGTTTATTCCATTAACCTATCTTTCCTGTAGAATTATAGCTAAGTGTCAGATGTATATCTTTCCCATTTTCAGGAAAGCTATTGAGGACGATTCAGTTCCCTGTCAAGGGTACGACTTCATGTTGTTTTGGCGGAGAAAATATGGACGAGTTATATGTAACGAGCGGAAATTCAGCAGTAATAAACGACAAGGCCGATGGAGAAGTTCCACCAGGATCCGTCTTCAGAGTCACCGGCCTGGGAGTGAAAGGATGTCCAGACCATGTGTATCAAAATTAGGACAAAGCCGTGATTTTCCATCAATATTCCGACTAATCTTGTCAATTTAAAATGAATTATTTGTATGTTTGTTAGTTAACATCCTGCAAATTAAATTCAACATTAGTCTTGATTTGTTAAACTCTCCAAAGTACAGGTAATCTATGGAAAAGCTCTAAATTGCAGTTAGTAAGTGGAAATTTGATTACCTGAATGTTTCTTTTTTTCTTGTTTTAGAACACAATGCTAGACTACTTAAAATTTCTTGGCAGGTAAGAACTGTGCATGGAAGTATATAGCAGTCCTATTTTTTTTATGTCATCTCTTTTTGGACCTTTTCTTTAACCATTTGTTTGTCCTACTGACTTTTCAATCCATGTGGGCCTTCAATGATTAAATAAAAAATTGAAAAAATATTATCCGAATGTTTCTGTTAATTATCCTATCGGCCGCACAACAACTGATTTGAGTTCATCTCAATAAATTAGGTGATCTGACCAAACGAGGACATTCTACAAGGTTTACTGATGAAATCTAAAACAATTCTCGACCTGTTTTTAGGAGAATAAGATGATGTATCAACCTGAGATAGTGATATATCCTATAACAGAAGGCCGAGGGAAATGTTAGTTTCGATTGTTAATAAATGATCGTATTTACAAGAAATCAGGTCAATAACTGTTTTATTATATATTTCACCAATACTTTCACTTTACCTTAGATCATTTCCTGTCATTTGATAGGACAAGGACATGTTAGATATTCTATGATACGTCAATACTACAATGATAATCCTAGGTGATATTGAACATAATGGGCAATTCCTTATTGTCAAAAATCAACAAAATTACCAGGAAATACATGTACCTGGTGTTGTACAACACCATCCCTTTTACCGTTCTTGTCTCAGCATAAAATTTCCACAACATCTAATCCAGTACCCGAAAACTTTTAGAAATCTGATGGCGTGTTTTTTAATAGATGTAACAAAATAATGTTCACTGTTACTTTACTAGCGTTTTTTCGAGTGTTTTCTTCTAAAAACCTTTGGAATTGTTCCACACATATCTAATCTATTGTCTGTTGTGACCTCACGTAAAATCCCTGTTACTAAATATTTGGATACGAAATGGTGTTGTTAAATTGTTATATCCACCAGGAATGCTGTTATGTCGTCAAGGAATTCCCCCGTTTCTATATTTGGGTACGAATTGGTGTTGTTGAATTGTTGTATCCACCAGGAATTGTTTTGTCGTCAAGGGAAGTCCCCCGTTTCTATATCTGGGTACGAGCTGGTGGTGTTTAATTGTTATATCCACCAGGAATGATGTTTTGTCGTCAAGGATTTGATTTATGGTTAATTAAGTGTGGAAATGTTGGGAATTGGCCAATCAGAAAACGGGAAAAACACAGTTATATAGTTAACGCTATTAAATCCCAATTTCTGCTTACAGTCGCCATTTTGTTGACATTTTCTTTTTGACTCACTCTTAAATACACCAGAAACCTATCGGCTACTTTTTCGTGAATGACAAGCTACATACAGGATAAGGACGCATTCGCGTATTCAGTTAAAACGGTTGGACTGGTAGAACCTGCAAGAAAAACGCCAAGTACAGATTGGAACCACGGCTGGACTACGGAATATTTGACACGCGAAGTTCGAGAATTTCAGCATAAAAAGGAGGGTCTGTACACTCACATATTTCCGGGAACACTGTGCTATAACGTGTGAGTGAAATAGAGAGTATCTTAATTTTTGTTAATTGATTTATGCTTGACAGGAAATTCCGAAACTGTGCATTTTTAGCTTATATGTAAGATAGAATAATTCCAGACCACCTGAACCGTTTCTAACCGGGTTACTCGAATGCAGCCTATATGTTGAGGAACAAAGAGTCGATAACTTTATGGTGCCGTAGCTGTATAGTTTTAAACAAGGAAGCTTGGAAACACCAGAAAATTAACGACCACGTTTCCTTTCAGCAGCAGGTATGTACACGAATTTTTTAAAGGCAACTTTTTCGGCCCCCATCAGCTGTCAAGGTTATCGCTATAAGCGAAAGGAATTTACTATGGAAGACCAGAATAAAGGCAAACTGCTTATGTACTGTAGAGCAAACAGTCGATGAAGCCACGGTGCCGTAACTGTATAGGTCTCTATCTTGTCAACAAAACATAATCTAAAAAAAGGGAAGTAACTACTGCAACACTACAGGAAACTAATTCATAGGAATGTAGGTTCCAACTTGTATCACTGGGACTTGTCTTTATCAGTATTAACGTTCCGGCTAGAGGTTTTTATTCATTTAAAAACGCAGATTTCATGCATTATACATTAACATATAAATACACAATATAATATAAATCGTCGCTTGATATTACTATTTACTGACAAACTCAAATATACCGGTAAAAGTTACAACTTCAAATGATTCAAGCATACAAGAGTATGTTTCCTTTAAATTATTTCCCCTGAAGGATTTGTGAAGTTGACTGAAATAATTAAATGGAAGAGAAAAAAGATATAAAGCAATTAACTTATGCTTGAAATTTGGGACATTTTTATTCTATGTATCTTGCCATTTTTATCACAGATGAAACCCATTCAATGCTTTCTCGTTTGTGGTTTAAGAGTGAATGTCCAGACACAAATAGGTGACATTACCTTATGGAATGGCTTGATCTGCGGTATGATCGGATTATCTATTTCATCGATAGCATATATCTAGTCATAGTTCGAAGTAAACTCCGGACAATTTTGTATGTAAGGATTATCTCCCTTCTTACGATAACTTGAGAGCGGATTCGGCTGGTCCAGAATGAATGTCTGCACAATATTAATCTGATTTATATACAGAAACCATTTTCTAAATATATACTGACAAAAAAACTAATAATTTTGCATTTCAGGATTTATCAAATCAACGTTTTCCATTCATCTGCTATCGATATGTGCATGGAGTTTTTTAGACTGTTTACATATGGCCGATGGGATCTAGTCTAACGAAGGTATTAAGTAATGTTTTTACTCACATGTTAAATATTTACACAGTGAAATTACATGGTATAATAGCCACATCAATCATATTTTAGTAGATCGGCGTGTAGCTGCGGTGTTCCATCCGGAGACAGAAAATCCTAGGGCGGTTTGACCATCGATAATAACGGCAATTTGTGCATGGTTTAAGAAAGATATCGAGGTCAGGGATAAGTCACCCCGACATACAGCTGATTTACGTACATTGGAGTAACTGGAAGTGGAGTGAACTGACTCACAGACAAGCGAGTCACTACGGGTATTAGTATACAGCTGACTCACGTACAGTGGAGTAATTTGGTGTATTACGTTACGATTGACTCGCAGACAAGCGAGTCACTACGGGTATTAATATACAGCTGACTCACGTTCAGTGGAGTAATTTGGTGTATTACGTTACGATTGACTCGCAGACAAGCGAGTCACTACGGGTATTAGTATACAGCTGACTCACATACAGTGGAGTAATTCGGTATATTACGGTACGATTGACTCACAGACAAGCGAGTCACTACGGGTATTAGTATACAACTGATTCGTGTACAGTGGAGTAATTTGGTGTATTACGTTACGATTGACTCACAGACAAGCGAGTCACTACGTGTATTTGTATACAACTGACTCACGTACAATGAAGTAACATAGTGTGTTACAAAGTATAGTTGTCTCACAGACAAACGGGTCACTACTTGTATAAAAGTATACAGCTGACTCACGTATAGTTGATTAACTTAGTGTGCTATTGGACAATTGACTCACAGGAAAGCGAGTCATTGCACTATATATCCAGTTGAACCGTATACAGATATCGCGGTACCACTGCCCCAAACTCAAAGAGATACAAAGTTAAAAAACGACCAGATGATATATAGACGATGTTCTTTATGATTAGTTTATCAGGTAGGATTAATGGTAATTACACAAACATCCGAGCTGGAAACAATGATGACATTGCAAGTATAATTTCCCTTACACGGAAATATACCTTAAACATTTATTTCCTTGTACACAAGAATATATGTTGTACACACAATAGTGGATCACTCGGCCATCGTAATCTCAACTACAAGTAACCGGTCCCTGGGGAAATTTGAAAAGCAACGTATGCAAAATTTAAGATATCGTATGTAATAACCTCTATCTCAAATTAACTAGAGTTCCTTTATTCGAAATACAACAACTCTAGAGCAAGAGAGCAAATTCCGATGTGGGTTCGAATTTAGTTAGACAAAGTATAAAACAAATACAACAACATTCTGAAATGTTACCAATATACCTATACCCATATTAGTACGGATTCCAAACAATTGATTTCTCAGCATCTCGGAATGAACTAGATCGAACTGTTATTTTCAGTAGATTATAGATGATATAATAAATAATTGGACTCGGGCCAATGTCACAAACCTCCGTGAGTTGATTATCTGGACCAATTTGATGATTAGTAACGCGCTATTGTTAAAATCACATTAATGTATCTGTTCCTAGCTTTTTCATATTAACGTTGAACTTTTAAAATTATCCTTATTCGTGGTACTACCCCAAACGGGAACCCTCGGCACTTTCCGCAAGCGAGAAAATACCTCGGGAGTATTTTCTCGCTTGCGGAAAGTGCCGAGGGTTGCCGATTGGGTACTACCCTTGTACAGTAATGATTATCGCAATATAGAAAGTCTTTTGTGTTGGAGGCGATTTTAGAAATGTCACTGGGGCAACTCAAATTCAGGCATGACGGCAATTATCGACATCTTGTTGTTGACGATCTCGACATCATATTTTCTTTCACATGTATCCGGTTTAACTAGGGGAAGTTTTTCTACAGGGAGATTTAAATAACAATCCCTCATTAGTGAAGAATCAGACAAAACAAAGAAGTGGAGAATATTCGATGAGAATATTTTACACTTGTATTGTATTGGCGTCATAAAACTCATTATAATTCATGCGAATGAGATTCAAAGAAGGTAGACAACTCAACCACAATCGTGATAATTCATATTCATTAGTCAGTCACTGGCAATGAGATTACATTGTATGTCAAATTTTTCAAGAATATTTAAATCTGTGTTGTCTTTCTCCTCTAACAAAAGTATCCTGTAAAAAGAAATCGGATTAAAAACTTGAGTCATATTTGTGGTTTTAGAATAAACATTTAAATTCTCTAGAAGGTTTAACTTGTTGCATAAGAAACAAATTTGAATTCTATTATAAATTTTAATCTGTGATTATAGATCTAGCTTCTGTGTCGGGGATTAAGGGTGTTGATTTGCAATGGTTGTTGGTGGAAACTAACGTTCTATTTGTATCGTATACACTGACTAATCTCGCTCATGATTCAAGAATCAAATTATGTTCCAAAAATTCATAAATTCTAGATATATAACACGTAGATGAACATATTCAAATATTCATCGGAACCATAATGAAAACATACAAATTGAATTTAAGATTCAAACAGTGTAAAAGGTGAGTTATTGATTAAGTCTAGTTTTGCTGACCGAATATCGGGTATCTGGCATGACTGTGTTGTATCATATCTGTAAAGTTTCTTAACAAAGGCATGCACCTACATTGAAAACTCACTGCCTTAGTAAAGCTAACCCGTGTTGTGTATAATAAAGGCTAGTTTGCGTAGCTGAACACACATTATTAGTGACTAAGCTCACGGTAAACTCTGTCGTTTTCTGCCAGAAAGTCAACATTATTAGCAGGATAGCTTTATATTTTAAGAAAGGGATGTTGATAAGTTGTACAAGTAGCGCCCGTTTCCCACGGCGGGTCTCAAAGGGAGTCAATACCCGTCCCCAGGTACCTTCCTTCGCAGCTTGTAATCTCACCAAATCTTCTAAACCGATGTTAAGGCTTGTTGCTCCACTGAGCTGGAGGTACATTTCAAAGCCACACTCTGTAGTATTACGTAAGCTGGTGTCATTTAATTATTAACAAAACGAAGAGAGGTGTAGTTCTCACACAGCATTCCTTTGGTATGGCGGTATGCATACCTTACATTTTAGAAATATATCAAAAGTCTATTGTTCTTTGGTTTATTTAAAATGTTTTCAATTAACTCTGAAGGCACAATTTATTGTGATAATTTATAACTTTGTTACAAAATTCCTCAGTGAAAGTGGTTCTTCGTCTAGTAATATTCCTTAAAAAACAAGTAATGCCGAAGCTATTGTTAGCTGTTTGTAAGAGCTGTGCCTGTTCAACAATTTTGTACTTCACCACCACGCACATAGTCTGTAGTATATATATACAACAAAAACATCCCGGTTTCTCAAAGGTTAGTCTGTGTTAACCAGTGGTTCTTAAAAATATTCAAATTGATGCTAATGAAAGATCAAGGACGTAAAAAGGCAAATTTGACACTCAAAAATATCAAATTAGCCAGTCTCAACAACTTTATAGCTGTGTTTGCAATAATGTCTAATTTCTATTTTAAAAAATCAATAACCACTGTAAATAAAGTTAATGAAGTGATAACGTTCCTGGTGAATCTTAACAGTGTTAAAAATGACATGAAATATACATGGGAAGTAAAATGTAAACGTACGTGTATATTTGACTTAATACAAGCGTCCTGGAGACAATGATTTATGTCTGATCGCATTCTGGAGTATGTTTAATGCATATAATCAGAAGTCTTAAAAGGAAATGACTTTATATTTGGTATTTTAATTTCATAAAATGGACGGAACATATACATGATGTACAATATAATAGGATCCATTTATGTCTTGTCTAAGTTCAATATATACTAACACGGCACCACTATGGGTGTCAGTCGGTGTTTAACAAAAGAATGAACACACATGGCACTAAAGAGTTTTTGTTTCCCTTTTTTGAGTTGACAGACCAATCACTGGGCATATTATAAGTCACGTGTTAAATTTTACCACCAAGTAAGCGATCGATTATGGAGTGACGTGGTAATCTCTAATCTCCGGATATTTCGTAAGAGTTCTTTATAAGGAACTCACAAGGTTATATGAATAATGTTTTAGCACTGAGTAACACATATGGTAAGTGATGGAATCAAACTAATGTCTCCAGATATGACGTAGGCGATTCGTCACTATGTAAAGAACTTAGTCCAGTGTCTGAATTCGAATCATGGTCCTCTGACTTCCGGTAGCTTTGTCGCTCATCTGAACGATAACCGGAGAAGGCGATGTGTTTGTCCATGTAGCATGTCCTAGCGGACTTGTACACGTAAATCTCCGACTTAATCCTCTCACTGATCAGTTCGTCACACTGGTACGTCGCGTGATCTACCGGAAGTCGAGTATATTCGCGGCAAGATGTTTCTGGAAGTCGTGAATTTTTTCGGCAAGAATATTTAGATAATGTGTTACTTTGAGTTTGTGAGCCATGTCCAAAGTGAGAGTCACTGGACGTGTTATCTGTATCACCTGAGAAGGAGTCGTCAAGGTCACTCGTATTTAGCTGCTTTCGGTTGGACTCGCATCCGGAATCGAAACTGTCTCCCTTTCCAGTATCACGTGTGTCTGCTGAAGTGTCGGGGTCACATGAGTGAGACAGGCCAATGATGGCGTCTAGATTCACATACTCTGCTTCTTCATGATACTCATTCCTTAAAGGAGTACTGTGGTTCTCCGGCACAACACTCAAATAGTCAGACGCGGCATCTTCCACGCTATATTTTTCACTGTGATGCGTTGCGTCAGACCTATCCAAGGCCTCAAGCTCGTGCTGAAGCTGCGAGATAGTCTGGAGTTTGGTATTCAGTGACTGGTCACACTGCTCAATCTCTCTTGATATTTGTGCTGCCTGATATTTTTGCATCATATTTGCGGATACCAAACGATTGAGTTCGGCCTGTAGATTTGCCAATTCTACTTCTAAATTTTCTCCGTTTTTAGCTGCCTCTATGTTTTCGTAGAAAGCTTCATTATGCGTACTTTCCTGAATTTGAAGTGATAAATCTTCAATTTTTGATGTTTCTCTTTGAATACGAGTCTCCAGATTAATCACCCTTTCACAGAACTGGATGTACATCTCTAAGTTGTCCGGATCTACGTTTCTTAAAAATTCGTCCATACTATCCTCTAAACCATTCTCTAAGTATGCATTTTGGAGGTAATCCTCGCCATTTTCGGCCATGCGCGTGTAATGCATATCCGTTTCTATTCCGTCGATTCTCTTGTCCGTATCCTTTATGCAGTGACGAATGTCGTGGAGTTTCCGTTCTTGAGTAACAACGAGTTTTGCAAGGTTTTCCATGGTTTTCAGTCGGTCATTTGTCGATTGATATTTGTCGTCGCTGTCCGACTTTGACCTCGAACTACGTTCCGTTCTCGTTTTATGACGTGAACGGCGATGATGACGACGACGATGATGTAAAAACTCAGCATAGTCATCTGATTCCTTGTTGTGCTTCATTGTCAACTGTACGTTGTACTGTTCTGCACCCCATGCGCGCCAGATTTTAATTATTTTCGTCCTACCCTGCAGGGGGCGCTCCACGTCCCGCCATCGTTCATACATGGTGTAATTGTCTGTTGAATCACGGTCGTGTCTTCCTTCCTGATACAAAAGTGCGTATATAACGTCATCACAAGTTGTTCTCTTTGTCAGTCCCGTAACCCATTTCTGCGTGCCCTCCACCCAGACAGGAATTTCGATCGCTTCTTGAACCTCCATCTATAACATACAAAAAAACACGTAATAAATACATGCACCAAAGAGCGTTAGAGGAAAAATAACTTACAAATATACAAATTGTGGTTGTGAAACCAGTAATTATATTTAGCTACATACTGAATTTGTCCAATCTGTGTTCCTAATATAAAAAAATGCAAAGCTGGAAGTTTCTCTTTATAATTGCCAAAACAGAACAATCGAATTGATACAATAAAATATGTATTAGGCAGTTTACTGTGTCAATACAATATACTTTATTTATTTAAGATTTCATTTGTAAATAAAAGAGGTAAAATGTATGCGTCGTGCAGCACTGATAAAAATCTAAAGTTGATTTTACTATTGACTGGCTGAGTTTTATCCCGTATTTTGTCTGTAATACTGTGTTGTTGATATAAAGTTATGCCGTTTAAGCACGCCAACTACCTTATCTAGGTCATATGATTCAACATAAACATACTACGTTGTAAAATAGGTCAACTTTAACGCGATATGTAGGTATAATTAACACTTACTGAAATGACTTTCCGAGTTTGCAAACATCCATGAATAAACGTAGGCTTAGTTTGGTATCAAATTACTGTTATTTAAACTGAGGGGACAGATAGGGGAAGACCACATCCCACAACAGAGTAATATACGTCCTGGACGACGCTTGTCTTACGTAAATTTCGTAGCTCTGTCATCTAAGGTATTAATCACAGAAACTCACACCTGAACATACAAGTTGTCACTTGAAATGTCCGCTAACAGAGTTATGTTAGTAAAAGATGTAATGGTGTGTTCAGTCTATATCAGCTAAGTTAGGAATCAGAATGCGCTGTATATGCCACGTTACACCTTAAATTACGTGTAATTCTATATCGGTAATAATCCTAGTGTAATTGACATGTGGTGAAATGGGTGTCGTGTTCGGGAGTTAAAATGGATATCTTGTTCGCCGGATAAAGATATCACTAACATTCCCAGTTATAAACCCAGGGCTTTATTGTACTGGGAAGATTTTATATAACAAATTTTCATATATTTCCTCGGAATGAAATAAGCTAGAATTTGTAATAGTATAGTTTTATGGTCTGTATTATTTTCAGAAATATCATCAAGTTTACATTATTCATATTCTTTATTCTTTATGTCCGTTAGAAATATAATATATTTGCCTTTGAACATACAGGAAAATCGTTAATCCGACCACTGTTTTATGTACACGTAGATAGAAGTTCTTTGCCTGGACGAATGGTTTATTCATACATCAGAATATTTCTCTAAGTCGCATCAATCAATTAATTTTGGTCCTTCAACATTCAGTTATCATTACATTTTTTATGTTTAGAGTAATACTAGAAATACGATTGTACATAGTAAGCATGGGCCGAGTTATGTGTCATGTTATAATAACTAGGAAGTCATAAAGCTGTGTGGGCAGGTTGAGAACATGCCATGAATTCCCTCCATAATACCGATGTATATACATATACAGGTGGGCTGTGGGTCGGAAATTCCTATCAAGTCCATCTGGGTGTCGGACTGGTTTGAGGCCGTGGGTCGGAAATTTCTATCAAGTCCATCTGGGTGCGGGACGGGTTTAAGGCAGTGGGTATGGCCATGGAGTCTAGACTCGGCCTGAGAACATTCGACTCGAGGTCATCTTATCATAAAACGTGAATTCTTTCTCGTATAAGTCATTAATCACATCAATTCTTACGATAAAATGTGAATGAAAGATCCAGCGATAGAATGTGTAACCCAGACAGCAGGACCGTTATAGAGTTATTAGTCATTAATATTTAACTTTTAACCATAAACGTCCTCCAAGCGTCAAATCCCTTTTTTATCATTACAAAGTTAAATATGTGACACGCTTTGTTGTGCGGTCTCGACTTCCTCTGAGACGAGTGATATACAATGTATGTATAGTAGCAGTTATATATAAAACTGACTTCCAAACACCACAATCTAACAGCTCTTAATACAGGAAATAACTTCAAACCGTGAAATTATTTTGAAATAAGTCTTACACACGTGTACAGCCAAGCGTTTAAATAGATAGGAAATCTGACCACATCTTTAGAATATTCAAAGATTAAACACCCACGGATACATGTCCTAACAATACTCGGTCCGAGTTTACGGTTAAATGTCTGTGACAAATTTAAAATTGATCAAACTTGTGGTATGAGTCAGCGGTCCAGTATGACGATCATGCTGCAGGTGACATTAGAATCCTAACAAGCTCTCAGGCCCAGATTAATTTGTGATTTATTGAGATTGATGAAAAAATCCCTTCTTCAGGACCGCTTGTGGTTCTTGACCTGGGGTACTGTCAAATCTATTCCCTGACTGCGGGGGTTCTTGTCCCACACATATCAGACATACATCACGACCGGGACAATCTACAGTCGGGATCGGAATCAGTACAAACCTGGCTTTGATCCAGAGAATCAATCACATTTGTAGTAGGGAATGACTTAAGGTTAACTAGCCTCTCGTCACCACATTGTACCTAAACAATAATAACGAGACGGAAGTAACTTTAACCTCACACGTTCTAACAATAATTAGATGTATTAAATTGGGTTGGTTTTCACGTTGTGTAGGAGTGTACGTTTTATTGACTGACCATAATAAAACAAGCAACAAATAAATAATTGATTAAGTTTTGGTTTCTTGACGACAAACTCTATCATGGTGGGGAAGAATGTTACTGGGTGTTCTGTGATATAATTAACAACTATTGTAGCAGAGAGTGATCACACAAACACCATTAATTATTCACAATACCCCGACCTTCACTACCAGACAGCTAAATCATAGTTTCACAGCCACTGCAAAACTATTTATCGTAATATGCTTCGTTAGTAAACTCAGCGCATCCATCAATCTCTCTAAGCTTCGAAAAATATATTATAAACTACCCAGTTAAACATCGATATATATCGACATTTCAACCAAACTACACACAAATCAAAATAAATAGGTTGGAAATCAGATATTTATCGAAAAATTGTCCTAAATGTGGAAATGTACAAGAACATACGGTTGCGTTACAAGTTAAAAGCGCGCGGATAACACGGCAAACGAGAGCTATTTAATTTGTAAACAAAGAGATTCAGTTATGTAAAACCACTTCTGCTTAAAGGTTTTCCTAAGTACATGCTTCACTATGTTTACCGTATCCGTGAAAGGACGACTCGTCACGTGCACGGCCACTTAGATGAAATGATTTAACACAATGCCTACCTGTGCAAACTGCGGTTATATTCTCTCGTGTTTACATTTTAGTTCTATACTGTTGAAAATAAATCCAAAAATGCACAAATCCAGATTTCAAATCGAATGAATGTTTTAAATGTTTATGTTATTGGACACATATGCTGGAAAGCATTCAGGCAACACATCCCAATAATTCCTGTATCCATCCGATAGTGACTACATCCCGACACGGTGTGCAACGTTACACTGCTAGATCCGGACTGACGTGTACACAACGCTACACACCGCTATACATGTAAGGTACTCGGCGAGATTGCGGGATATCCCGAGCTGAGAGACAATACTCAAGAGACCGTTATTGCAATAAAACTTTATCTACTGGGAAATGTCCTATTGTGTTAGCTGTTAAATGGAAACAGACGCGGTTTTAATTGTTTATTGGAGTGATTGGATGGCTGGGTTTAAGTTGGTTTATTATAGATGCTCTATAGACCATTGTGTCGTGTGACCCCACCGAGTCCTAGCATTGAATGGTCCCCCCAACACTACTGAATGTTCCCCCGGTACACCGACCTGTGTTCCCATAGATCTCGTGTCTTCCCACTGTCTGATGAGATCACGGGTTCCGATTTAAAGTAATGGGTATCAGTTATCATTTAAAATGTATACAACTCTGAAAACCGTATTGTGTGTTATTGATATGTCAATCCATGCGATCTAATGACCGGAAAACAGCACAACGCGAAACATAGGGCGTCACACCAGCCGTTATCTTTGTGGAGAAAATCGTTAGTCGCATGAGCAAGCTAAAACCATGAGCAGGTTAAAGCCATGAGCATGCTAAACCATGAGTAATATTGCTTCTATAGCCCGTCAACGCCAGAACCGAAGTCATCTCGTATCTCGTCCCGCAAACACGTGTAACGCATTGCAAAACACAAAATTTCGACAATTACAAAGCTAAAACAGCTTTCGATGCAAGCTAAGTCACGCGATAAGGTAATATGGAAAGCTTCAGCGAGATTCAGTATTTCTTTAAAGAAACTTAAAAGAAAATTTAAGATCGATTCAAAGGCTAGATCACACTTTATCATGAATATTATACTATAGTCGCTAGGTTGATGTTCAGAATGCCTGGTATCGTGTTCATGAAAACTACTTTTAGCTCGTCGATGACTTGGTTTTTTTTCTCGTCTCACAATCTGCATCCTTGAATATCATATTATATTGTTTTTACGATGTTCGTGCTAAAGATGAAACTTGAAAATCGAAATTATTTACAATATGGTATAGTGTTGATGGTAAGAAGTCAAAGCCTTTGTACTCGAAGCTTGAGTTTGTGTGGGGGTCTTTTGTCGTTGTATACATGATATGGTATAAGAACATTGCGTGACGATTGATTTATTAGTATAAAAGTGCTAGATCAGATCCTCAACCTGTAGACATGCATACGAGTATAGTTATTACATACCATGCTACGACATTGGGAGAGGTTTGGGTGACCTATGTACCCCAGAGAGTGAGGTATACTTATATGGTCATCCGATTCCAACTTACAACAGACCTCGGTTACTTGGTGTAGATTATCGCAGATAAATGTGTGGTTAAACAAAGTAAACACCTGTGGAGGCACTTATTGCAGGAACTTTAATTACAGGTACACCTTACCTAATAACGTTTGGGAAAATAGGTACAAGTTTCCCCACCCTACCACCAGCTAGAAATATACATATCAAAAATTCCTCACCCTACCACCAGCTAGGCAACTACATGTCAACAGTTCTCCACCCTACAACTAGTAAAACATATATTATTTCACTGTTCCCTTCTTCATTACCGTTAATACATGTACATATCCACAGTTCCCCACTCTACCAGTAGTAGTGAAAGTCAAGGAGATAGAAAGCCTACAACCAACCGAGCAATTACATGTTCAAACCATCCTTTAAACGGGTAAACAAATTTCTCTGTTGAATCCATATCAACAGTATACATACCTCCTAACATGTACAAATCCACAGTTCTCCGCTGTATTTTCTAATCCACTTAATATACAGTTACTCTGAAACATTTAAAATCCTCCCTGTTCCACACAGCAGGCACCAGTAACATCGAGTGAAAACAGCACCCCAGGCGATCCTTATATTTCAGTTTTTCAGACAAGATTACGTCAACAACGACCTGTAGGTTTGGTCAACTTCCTCAGATATAAGACATGTTTATTAATACAATATTTAATCTGCGAAATATTGAATGAAAATCTAAATCCGACATGTTCTACATACAGTGTATGAGTAGAAGATTATCCGTTAATCCGTACTCAATGCGTATCCTAAGTACACCGCAAAAGGGGAGATAATCGATCACTAACACTTGTCTTGATCACCTGCCAGATCGGCCCTTTAAGTACCCTGATCATTTACATAGTAAATATCGCCCAGGTCAAGATGTTACGTCACAGGAAACCCATTGTTTAGGACTTATAAGCTGACCGAAAATATCTAAAGGATTTCCATGGGTTCAATTAGCAAGGTTCGCACAAACATGTTTATAGAGTTTTGTTAATGAGTTAATATCCCTGTGTTTATAAGGCTAAGACAAACTGTGTATATATTTTCCTCGCCTTTTGTTATTACTAGTTAATTATGTCAATTCATACGTACGAAGGATTGGTATTTTTTCCGGCTTTGTAATCTAGGTGTTGTTCTCCGCTATCCAAAAGACTATGTTAGAGATTTCTACTCTGGGCTTCACCAAGTCTGATTCCATTTGCTTTCCTATTATCACATTTAAAAGATAGTCCCACTGAGAGATGTATGCGATGTAAGCAACGTCTGAGAAATATAACCGATTATACCGAATATATGTGTGTTATATACGTTCTGATCAACGGAATCTATCAGTACTGCTGTTTACAGCTTGTCGAGCAAGCTACTCGGCTCAAAAATGTTTCCATCATCTTTTAAAATTGGTATTAAATAAGTATAAATCACCAATAACAGATGTTTTTAACATTAGAATGGGGGTCTTCATAAAGTACCTCTTCGTTCTAGGATTTCCAATACTAGTCTACTAAACAACAGTAGACAGTTAATTTTAGTGTTGTTTATAAAACCGTTGAAAATTTGAATCTTTCTTTTTCCATTTTAAAATAAAATTGTGCCAGACGGATATTTTAGGCCGAGGTTACGTATGAAGGTGACATTGACAGGTAGACAGACGGTGTATGTTTCCTGACACCTGCCGTAACTCGACTCTGACAATTTTGAAAAGTTTTGTTACTGTTAACGGATTAATACATTTCATATGTATCTTCCGCACGTTAAGAATGACACGGCAGATTGTTTTGAACATGTTTTCTGCAATGTATAGGTAATGTGATTCCAGAACAATTCTAATTATGTGTTTATGTTTCCTTATATACAATTATTTACTCGTGCGTAAAAGTAAACACCGCCATCAAAATCCCGACACCAGTATCAACAAACTTGCATCGTACATGTCGCCTCACTTCCCGTGGGTAATCATTCACATACATTATTAACCAGACCAGGAAATACAGTGTGAGGGAAATGTAGTACATAGTGGTGAGGTAACCCGATATTGATAAATGATCCGTGTAAAATACTAATAGTAAACCCTAACGTGTTACATACACCCCGAGGTCTGGTAACGCCCTCCACAGTATGACGTCACAGTGGTCATTCTTATACCAGCCATCCCGCCGTGACCACATGACACCCCAAAATTAGCTCTGATTGCTCAATTATTGCACCGATTAACACGTTAGGGACGATTTACAAGGGCGATAACCTTCATGATATCAAAATAAAAACAGACCCTTTATTTTACTCCTTCGTCGACACAAACATTATAAGTGTGGCTCACCAGGGGCTCGGACCAGCTTCTAGTTACAAAGGAATTTGGAGTATAGAGGAAATTATCCTGTTTATTTAACAAACATCATTACGTCACTTTTATTGGTCAATGTTGTTACAAACGTGTGAGGTACACATCTGCTGGCCAACTCGCTGTTTTGGACGGCATAACTTTATATGTGGTGTTACAAAAAGTCTAAAGATATACATTCTTAAAGGCTTCTGTCATTATACATTCATCATCTATCAAAAGAAAACATTGATTTTTCATATCCATCCTTTCTTTACGTTTATACATTGAATGGTTGTCCTTATGTTGGTTATATATCTTTGAACTGATTGTATATAGAATACACTGTGATTACGGTATCGTACACAGTCACAATGATTTTGGGTCCTTGAATTTCGTCTATCACATTTACAGAACAAACAAACCAAATTCGATTTTAAACCTTTAATCCAAACGCAAATATAAAGTTGGTGATATTCAATATAACATGCTGCTCGGGACTTGAATACAACTTAACCGTGTGAAGGCATGTTTATGTGTCCCAATACCACGAACCTTCTATAAATGTTGTTACTAAACCAATTGGCGTTTAGAAGTAGACCTAGGTCCTCACTGTCGTTAAATGTTCAGACCAGACACGCCCGACATACTACTTCCTGTGTTGGGATTGACCTTACTTCACCGGCTTTTACACACGAGTTTTATATATAGACAAAATAGACGGTTAAAATGTTGGCTCTAAATATTTGTTTTGATATTTTTGGTAGAGCTTACAAAGGTACTTGGGTGTGTAATTTACTATCAACTCCTTAGTAAAGTCACCGCCGCCTTAACATCTGTAAACGTAGGGGTCTGTGTCTATATAGAACCGAAAAGTACTACAGTTTACATACTTCTGTCATAACAGGTAACGACCTCCATATACAGTAGATAATGACTATTCTCCAACATGAAGCCTCTAACTATGTACCTAAGTTATCTTGTCGTGTCTATACTTCTACATATGTCATCTTCTCACCCAACGAAACGAAGTTTCAGTTTTATATTATAAGGCACCATAGTTAAGTTAGAGTAACGAGAGCAAAACAAATATGAAATAGGCCAAAATACGATAAAATAAGATGAAGATGACATCGCGAGAACTCATCTCTCATCTGCTTATTAGACAAAGTGGATTTTATCTGGTCATCCATTTGCTTTATGCTTTGAAACAGATCCTTAGGGACATATAAGTGCCAAGTTATAATTACCCTAATATCGATATGTTGTAAGCACCATGCCGTTCTAGGTCCCTCGAGTGTGTACAGATAAAACATCGTTAGGACATACCAGGCGGTGCTTCTCTCGGAGCTCCTCGATTACACTAATGAAGCATTGGAAAGGTTTGATACCTAGTTTGCAAAACTACAACCCATCTTTGATGTTAACAGACTCCTGCCGTAACATGTATTGTTCAAAATATCGATTGATTTAGACATTAATTTCAGTCTTTCTTTGATGTCTTCTAGTGCAAGAGTGACATACTGCAAACCGTTCCAACATCGCCAGAATAAAATGGTATCTGTATTGTAGCCGAGGAAACAGGGGCCCATTAACTATCCTTATTGCATATTACATTACCAATTAAGAAAGCAACTTAAAGACCCTTGTATGGTTTAACATGTCTATAGAATAATGCTTATCAACACACCAAAGTAGCCACCACTTTATGCTATGTTGATAACCCAAATTTCTTCACAAACAATGTCGTAAAGTCCTTTTCCCAAGGCAATTTCAGCACAGTTTACACACTTATCGAGTGAGTGTGAATTAATTGTAGATAAGTTGTAGGATATTCAACGCGCACATGATGTAGCCTTACTGGTATGCCGAACCAGGTCTACATTCACACGATAAAGGCCCTGTCATTTAAAATAGTATTACTTGATATAATTAGAACTGTTACAAATGAGGCGGGGACCTTTTCTAGGGTTTCACACGAATACACCTCCACATTTTGGATTCTGGAGCAGACAAGGGAATGTAGGTTCATCTGCTGTCATGACTATTTGTAGTTGTCAAACACATCTTTAGAGTCATTTTGTGCGTGTGAACATTGTAACATGGTCACAATGTTTATAAACAAAATCAGACGTTCAAAATGCGGATCTCAACTGGGGTACAAGTGCTCATAGTATACTGCCATAGCTAGGCTTTGTTTATAATATCAGTTATTTTTGGGGCTCAGATATTTGAGTTCTAGACGGATGTTCGTATGAGACTCACACAAATTTTGAAAATACAGTGTATTTTTTTAGTAACTGGACTCATCAAAATTTTGGACATGGTGTCCTCGACTCAATCGAAAAAAATCTTCAAAAAATGACTGATCAGTAGGGTTACCGAGTTGACTTTACATCTTTAGCGACTATTTTCAAATGATTCTATTGGATCAAACATTGTCAGAAACGTTCACATTAAATAAAGACTGTTTATCGATGTGATGTCCCTGGGGTAAGAAAGGACGAGTAGATATTGAGATACTCTCATTCTCCGACTGTTAGTTTGCTAGTTTCTATAGGTTCACGATTTCTATCCTTATCGACGATACAACATGCAAATGTTGAACAGAACATTTAGATGAAATACACGAAAGTTAACATAGGAAATTATTAAGTAAAGATCACAGAAAAACAAACATTAAAATATTACTAAAATGAGTAGGTTTGAACTGGACTTAGCGAGGTGAAAAAGTCAAATATATGTACAAGAAGAAATGAAGCGTGACGCTTATCAGCCTCGTGTATCACAATTCTATGTTTGACGAAGCAGAAAATCCATCAAAGGATAAACAAATAGATAAATAGGAAATGTTTTTTTATATGTGTGTATGACATGACTATTTCTCCGTCTGTTCTTTGTAACTGCTATCGACGGGAAGGTTGAATTCCAGAAATATCGTATCTCTACTTCAATCATTAGTGTTGTGTGAAATTTACGGAGCGTGCAGGGTAATAATCCGTGGGAATTGAATAATCCATACGTGTTTACCCAGTACGACCTAGGTATTTAATATTAGGAATATTTCAGATTTTCTACAAACATGTATAGTTTGGTCTAATTAGACCGCGAAAATCTATAAATCAGATCGATAACGGCAAATTGAAAAT